TTTTGATCCAGTTAATATTTTTAGTTGATTTTTTTTTTAAATATTAGTTAGACGTTAGGTCTATAGCTATATCTCAATAATTAATTTTTTTACATTTTATTAAAAATATTAATTATTTTTAAATTTTAAATAAAATGTAAAAAAAAAATCTAAGATAGCTATTTTGTAGAGTAGAATTTAAGAAAAATTTTAGTAAAAAAATATCTTATTAATATTCAGTAGTAAATATTCTGTAGCGTTTTGAAGTTTGTGAAAATTTGAATTTTCATGTACTATTTTACGGTATTAAACATTGAAATACGTATTGAGAAAAGGACAGAAGAAAACGCTATCTTTTCAATATACTTTTGAATGAGAGTGATAAGTAATAATTGCCTTATCTAATTTCTTATCATGGTATTTATGCCAAGTTTGTAATGTATACACACTATCATCATATGTATACACAGTAATCATGAAAAGATAGCGTTTTCTTCTGTCCTTTTCTCAATACGTATTTCAATGTTTAATACCGTAAAATAGTACATAAAAATTTAAAATTTCACAAACTTCAAAACGCTACAGAATATTTACTACTGAATATTAATAAGATATTTTTTTACTAAAATTTTTCTTAAATTCTACTCTACAAAATAGCTATCTTAGATTTTTTTTTTACATTTTATTTAAAATTTAAAAATAATTAATATTTTTAATAAAATGTAAAAAAATTAATTATTGAGATATAGCTATAGACCTAACGTATAACTATTATTTAAAAAATAAATCAACTAAAAATATTAACTGGATCAAAAGTTATTTAAGTTGTCAGTGAGTGGTGGGCCACCCTGTATATATTAAATAAAAACAATTATTACCCTTATATCAAATTAGGGATAGACCTAAAAATTTTTAAGCACTCATAAATTGAGGATACATAATAAAATTGAAAATTACAAAACTATTATTATTTAAGAAAACTTTAGTGTTCAGCGATAAATAAATCATTCTGTAGAATTCTTTTATCGCATAACACACCAGACGCTTCTCTACACTTTAACCACCCGCACTTAATCCTGTGTCTTACATACTCGTCAGTACCACCGCTATCTTGTACACCTGATCCTAAATACTTAAAACTTTCCACCTCTTCTTCACTTCTTCGTCTATTGTCACTGAACTCCTCATTTTATCTACTTCGTGTTCTCCTTTGTCAAAATCGTACTCTATATACTCTGTCTCAATCCTACTTATTCTTAAACCCTTTTCTTTAAGAACTGATCTCCACACCAATAGCGTTTGATTAATTTCCTCTTTGTTTTCTCCTATTAAGACTATATCGTTAGCAAACAACATGTCACCTCTCCTTGTATTTCTCTAGTAAATCCATCCATCACTATAGAAAATAAATAAGGGTTTAAAGCAGAACCTTGGTACACTACTAATTTTACCTTAAAACTTTTTGTTACTCCTCCTACGCTTTTTAACCTGGTGCATGTGCCATCAACAATATATACTCTATTATATTAATATACTTTTTCGGGACTCCTTTTCTCAATAATACCCACTTTAAAACCTTTCTCGGTAATCTATCATACGCTGTCTTCAAATCTATAAATACCATACAAAACTTTTTCTTCTTTACCCTAAATTTATCTATTAGTTGCCTCACACAAAATAATGGCTCCATTGTTGACTTACCAGGCATAAATCTAAACTGGTTTTTAGACCCCGAAGTCTCATTTTTTATTCTCTTACCTATTACATTTCCCAAATGTTCATACTATGACTCATAAGCCTTATGCCTCTATAATTTTCACACTCCTGTATGTCTCCTTTACCTTAAAATATCGATACCACAATACTATTCTTCCATTCATTTGGGATTTCCCTTTTTAATTAGATTTTATTTAAAAAATCTTTCATCCACCTTGTGCCAACATCGCCTAATATTTTCCATACTTCTACTGGCACTTCATCTGGAGGCCACAGCCTCCCATATCTCTTTCTCACTAATAAAATATACAACACCATCGTTATACGAGATATCCTATAATGCCTCTTTTGAATACTCCTCATTCAGTAATTTTTCAAAATACTCTTTCCACATTTTTTTCACATCATCATCACTTGATAGTATCCTATATTCAACACTTTTTATACACCTTATATAGTGATAATCTTTAGACCGTTTGTCTCTTGAACTTGTCGCGGTCGCATCGCATTTCCAGTGTTACCGCCGGATGGCGATCGCGGCGCTTCCTCTTCACGTCCGACAGGTCACGCTATTCGCGGTGGCCTACGAGCGGTAAGAACCGGTCGCTCGGGGCTGGACAATCGAGACTGAATAAAATATACATTCGTTTTCCAACTGTCACGTTGACCTTTTATGAGGAACAAAAGATAACTTTATTTAATTTACTTATTGTGTAATTAAGATTATTGTTGTAGTTGTCTAATAAAAACGCTATTGGTTTACTACTTATTATTATTATTATTATTATATTTACTACCTTGAACACATCAAATTTGCAAGTCTAGACTTCTTTCTCGCCTTCCTTTGTTCCTAACCTATTGTAAGAACATTTATTACTATGTTCTTACCACTTATATTACACACGTTTTATTTCTATTTATTTAATTCGTAATACATATTAATTAGCATAGAGGGAGATGCTGATGTGACAATTCTACTCGTCTGTAGCCCGGAACTATTGACGTCGAACAAACAAAGGGCAGTTGTGTTTGAGTGGCCATTATAGACATAGTTTTTAATACTATTACTTTCGTCTTATTTATATTATTTATAACTTAACTTATTTTATTCAACGAAACGTCTATCGTCAATTTACATCATAGCCAACCAACTCCGTCTCACTTGGATATACTTACTAACCAACTGTACTAGGATTCAGGTCAGACATATTGTACATTACATATAACTTATATTTACTGAACATCTAAAATATAACTTTACTTTGTCGTTGACATAAAACAATAGTCTAATTTTATTTAATAATCTATCCCCTGTAACTAAGGTACACGATTGCCTGTGTCTCCTTCAGGTAATCAAAACTCATTTAAGGAGATAGGGGCAGACGTCTGGTAACTTCCGATTCATAGTTTTGACCAAGATCCTCAACTATTAAACAAGCCCCTAACACTATCATACCTCTTAAATTTCGCCTTATTTACTGCACACTTGGCTTCTTTGCACAAGCGTTTATACTCCATCCACTCTTCTCTCCTTTTGCTCTTTTGCCATACTTTGGATTGCTTTTTCTTAATTTCTATGATTTTTTAAACGTCCTCATCCCACCACCAATTTTCCTTGTTTCCTGGCATTCTACTCCTACTCTTACCAAAAATTTCCTTTGCAGTATTATTTACACAACTAGCAAATCTATTCCACACATCATTCATGTCTCCCTCAACATTCCACAACGTCTTTAAAAACTCTTTTTCATTTTTTCCTTTCCATTTCTACCACCGGATTCTTGATTTTTCTCCTGTTTTTTTTCTATTTTTGTATATTCTCTTCCATCTACATTACAACTTCATTACCATCAGTCTATGTTGTGTAGTTACACTCTCGCCTGGTATAACTTTACATAATTTTACTCGCTTTACGCTCTTTCTCTTCCACATAAAATAATCAATCTGCGATCTATGACTCTTATAAGTTATATAATGTTCTTCCCTCTTCTTAATATAAGTATTAACCAAAACAATATCATACGATACTGCGAAATCCAGGATTCTATCTCCAGCCTCATTATTTCCACTAAAACCATACCCTCCGTGTATTCTTTCATATCTTCTTCACTCATTACCAACATGACCATTCATATCACCACCTATCATCCCATTCTCATTGCCAGGTACTCCTTGCATCACCTCACCCATCTCTCTTCAAATAACTTCTTATCTATTTCATCACATCCTAATCGTGGTGCATAGGCACTTATTAAATTTAACTCTTTTTGCTCAAAAATTAATTATACGACTATAATTTTGTCACTTTTCCTAGTTACTTCTACAACTTTACTTTTCATCTATTATTAATCCTACACCATTCTTTGTATTAGACTTACCTGAGTATATTATTGCATAATCCTCACCTATTTACCTTGCTTTCTCCCCTTCTACTTAGTTTCCTGTACACAACAAATGTTCACTTTTCTCCTCTTCAATACTTCTACTAATTCTCTACTTCTACCAGTTAATGTTCCAACATCCCAAGTACCTATTCTTACTTTGTATCTATCTTTTTCCCTTATACACGAGTCCAGCCTAGAGTTAAGTGGTGATGTCCCTACACTGTTAACACTACAAGCGTTGGGTAGACCTATACACATGACTGGTGAAACAGCTACCGCATAAGTTTTCCGGGTGGTATCAAACAATTTATTTCTTAAACCTTCTCCGTTTTTAACTACTTTATTTCCTTTCACGTGTTGTCCCTGCGTAAATCCGAGATGGGACAATTCGCCTAAGTTTTGTTCAGGACTCCTCATCTTTTTGACAAAAATTTTACGCCAACTCTCGACCTGACGCAACCTCATTAGTCGCCCATTACGACTGGCAGAGGAGACAGCCAAAATATCAATAATATATCATGATAATCAAATATTAAGTACAAATCGTATACTAGAGACTCAGTAGATAATAACAGTATTCATCTAATCAAAATAATACATTACTCTATTATTGGGGTGCTGATTTTTTATGTTATCAAAATACCATTAAGTGGAATCATACATTATTGTAATAAAGAAAAAGTACCGACTGAATACGAGGAATTGTGGATTTGTATATCGAATGTGCATATTTAGGTAATACTTTCTCAAATATCATTACAAATACTCTTATACTTTACAAATTATTTTATATATTATTTAATAAATAAAATGCATTATTATAGTTAAATGATAATTTTTCTTAAAGTGTTATCTCAAAGATATCTCTTCCCGTATACTCAAAAATGTTTAAAGATCTACCTATAATCTATATTTATTAAATAATAGACGAAATTATATTTTTTTATTTTGATATTTACATAACAATAACATTAATATATTAGTTTTTAACAAAGTATTTTTGAACAGACAATAAATAATTTGATAGATTTAGTCATTCTCTACATTTTTCTTTTTTGTATATTTCTATGTCTTAATCCAAAATTATGTCGACTATATCTTGCATTATTATCTACTGTCCAAGGCTTTTTACGTTTTGTTTCATAAACAATTTGGTCTTGATCTTGATTTTGCTCCTGTTCATATTCTTCATTATTATCTGGATTTTCTTCATTTTCTTGATCTTCTGGGAATTTTTCATTGTGTTGCTCTTCATTTTCTTCTTCTTCTTCTACTTCATCTTCTCCTTCTTGTTGTTTTTCGGGTTTATCTTCTTCATCCATTTGTTCATCAAGTGTTTCTTCTATTTCCTCTACGACTGGAATTTCAGTTGTGGTAGTAGTTGTTTTTATCTAAAAATGTTATTTTAAAATTATTTTAGTAAAAATATGCAAATTTTACATAAGAAAAATGTTAATAATTTAATAATAAATTACTTCTTTGCTTTTTATTCGTTTTAATGTCGGACATATCACTTTTGTAGATGTTTCTCGTGATTTATCTTTAGTTGGAACTTTAAAAAGAGGCTCTTTTAATGAAAATCTGTGACTTAAGGGAGAATTTGAAAAACTTTTAACAATATCTTTATTAAGTCCTTTAAAACCAAATTTACCAATACTTTCTTCAGCAGTACCATCCTTCTCTTTTTTTTCCAAATAAATGGGTCCGTTATTTAATGCAGACTTTGTATCATTATCGGTTTTTATTTTTATGACTTGCATCCATTTTCCTATTCCTGTATCTGGACTAATAACGTAAATGAAAGAACTATTTTTTTCAATAGTGGGATTTTGTAAATTATTTGTGCTATTTGCAATACTATCGTTATGCTTCATAATTTTCGTTTGATTATCCCTTAATGTAATCGCTTGTACAAATTTAGCTGTTGTGTCATAATTTGGAGTAGTTGAAAACGCTACGTTAATTTCTTCTGGTAAAGATCCTTCTTTATCTTGATCTGGGATTATATATTTACTACTGTATACTTGAGAACTTTTATTAGATAGAGGATTATGAACTACTCTTTTTGCTCTAACGTGAGGTTGTGAACTAAGAAAATACCTTGGTTCATGTCGTCTATAATCAATATCTATTGATAATCGGTCGTTATAATTTTGAACCCATGTATTATTTTTTGTCGAATACAACCTTATTTTTGATGTTGATGGTGATACTGTAAGATTAGCGTGAACGTTAAATTCTATTTTCCTCTCTTTTGGTTTTTGCAAATCTACGCCCTTTAGATTTCTTTTATATCTTTTATATATTTTTGAATTTTCTCGATTCTTTATAACTCTGCTAACACTTTTATCAATTATACTTCTAGTTATTAACTTTGTTTTAGGTTGAGAATTTTTCGTATTAAAATAATCTTGAGTAACGGGTTCATCTTCATTATAATCCCCTAAAAAAAACTTAATTGGACTAAAAATATCTAACAAACTTTCTTCGTCTTCGTCGCCTCTTATTTCTACTTTTTTTATATATTTCTTTAAAGAAGAATTTTTTAATTTATCTGTTTTTGGTACATTTTCAAATAAAGGAGGTGGTGGAAAAAGACCAAGTATTTTTTCATTTAGTAAATTACCTTTGGTAGTTGAATGAACTTGAGTTAATGAATAATTAACAGGATTGTGGATAATAGTAGATTCTTTTACTGATATTTCTTCTATATTATCTTTTTGTTCGTTCAATTTTGTTTCATTTGCATAAACAACTGGTGATAATTTAGTGGGAAACATCAAAATAACTGGTTCTGGTATAATTGATTCCATACCTTGTAATTTATGATTGATTGGAATAGTTTTGTTAACTGATCTAAAATATTTTAATGTTATTGAGTAAATATTTTTTATTGTAAAGAGCATATAATTATATCACCTACTTTCTTGATGATGCATAATTCTCTGGGAACCATTTTCCCGGAATTAAGTCTTCCGCAAAATTCCATTCTACATATGAGTTTTCTGGTTTTATACTTTCTCGGCTATCTAAAGATTTACCCACTGCTACCACTTCAGGAAATCCAACATCTCTCTCTTTAAATAAAGGATTGTCTAAAGGATCATTACCAAAATATTTATTTTTGAAACACCCAATTTTATTGCCTACAGCATCAATTCTTGGATTTTTGACTTCGGGTTCACCTTTCCATTCACCATCATCTGTTCTTTCGGGAATTACACCTAAAGGACCTGTAATATCATCACATTTAAGACTACTAATTGATTCATAAAATTCCATACCACCATTTGTTTTATGTGGTTTCAAAGCCGGATTGGTTATGTATCTTAATGCAGAATGTTTTGGGGCATACTTATAATTTGAGTAAATTCGAGTATCTATAGGGATTTCAGTTGTTGTTCCGCTAGAGGCGATATTTAAAACTTCTAGGTCACGACGATTCCTTTTAGGATAGCTATTATTTAAAATTTTAACCAAATTTTTAACTCTTTCATTATACTCTATTGGAATGAGATGTTGTGGGACTGTCCTTTGATGCCCTGCAAATTGTGCCAATGTTAAATTTTCTACATGCTTTGTATTATCATCATCGGATTTATGTTGTTTGCTTTCTACCGAATCTTTTGGTAAATAAGGATGTCTATTAAAAGCATATCCATCACTCATTGGCGTAGTTGTAATTTGAGTAATAGCTTCTATTTTTGAACTGCCTGACGGATAATGATCATTCGGCTGAACATATGTATATGGACTCGTTAATTTTACTGCTTTTGAATAAGGCACTATTCTTTGTTTTTTTGATAGTTGAGTATTTATATTATCGCTCATTTTATTCTGCAAATCAGTTTTAAAATATTCTTCGCTACTGCTTTGTTTAGGGTCAATTACAGAAGGTTGACGCACATGAAAAATTTTTGGAATATTTTCTTGTGTTTCATAAGCCTCATGTGAATCTTTGTAAACACTTTTAGGCATCTTATTAAGCATAGGATAGATTGAGAATCGTGTACCTTTGTAAGGAGAGCTCCTAAGAGGATTCTTGTTATATTCTGAACTTGAAGTATCTGTATTTAAATTTGCTAGTTTCAAATTGTTGGATTTATCTTTATTTGCATACTTGTTAACTTGAGAACTTGAGTTTAACTCATACTTTGGATAATCATAATCATGATGATCTATTGATATATCTACATTGACAATAGGTTTAGATCTAGTGGTAAAAAACGGAGCTTCATATTTTAAATTTGAACCAAACCTTGAATAGTCTACTCCCGGATATCTTGTATTCTTAAAACCGTTATTTCCAAAATCTGATATGATATCCCTGTGGCCTTTTCTTTTCTCATCTTGTACATTTTCAGACTTAGGATAGCTATTAAAGTAGTCTAAAACTGCATCTTGTTGAACTAATTTTGGGTGCTGTCTTATGGCACTATTATCACTTGTAGAGCTACGAATGGAATCATATTTATACTTAACTGAAGGATTATTTAAATTACTTAGTAAATCTGTTTGACCCTTAGACTTTTTTTGTTTTTTGTTAATGGCACTTCCGTCATAATTTGTTTCAGGGATAAATTCAAAATTTTGAAAAGATTTTAAAGGTTTTCCTATGATGACTTCAGGATTTTCAAACTTTACTTTAGATTTAGTTTGAAATTTACTTGGTACAGCAGATTCCAAGTCGTCACTTGGAATAATATATTGATATGGATTATCATGGTGTATAGTAAAACCAAATTTTGTTCCATGACCACTCAATTCTGAAAGTTCTGAATTAATTTTCGATTTACCATGTTTTTTTGTTTCGAATTGAGGCCTATTAAAATTTTTTGGTGGCGCAATTGGTACCCATGGAGTATCATCATAATTTCCTACAACATCGGTGTGAAGCTGTTGATTATTATTATCCTGATTTTTTCTAGATCTATTTCTAGAACGATTTTTCTTTTGCTCATTTCTATTAAGTTTAGTTGAATTCCGAAAACTCCCTTGTTTCACATTCGGTTTATAAGTAGTAGGTTCAATATTATCTTTTACTGATTTACTGAAACTACTCACTTGCCGTGATTCTGCACTATCCTTAGAATCTTTTTTCTCGGAATTTGTAATATTTTGCACAATTATTTTATTGTTATTAATTTTTGAGAAATTCCCAGGTGAATTTTCATTTAATATTTTATTATCCTTTGGTACTACCTTATTGCGGCTAATATTATCTTCATGCCTAGTTTTTTTCCCTGAAATTGTCTTATGGCGGCTCCAGGTTCCACGACTTGATGGAACTGTTACAGATTTATTTTCTTTTGTTTCTTGAGTAACATGAGATGAATTACTGCTAGGTCGAATAATTTCAATACTTTGATTATCTTTTTCTTCTTCTTCCACTTTGAGTTTCTTAGAACCACCATGGTCATATCCAGCGTCTTCATAACCTTGTTCTTCATACACCTAGAGATAAATATAAAAAATAATAGCTTTAGTAAACAATTTCTTAAATTTAGCATTATTCATATTAGATCATTACATAGGAAAATAACGAAACCTATTTATTTTGTTACTATTATTGAGTAATATAAAAAATTGATACAATAACCAAAGTTACTACTATATTATTAAAAAATTGTACACACCAGTATGAATTTAAAACAGTTAAACATGAATATTTAAGTATATCTATGATTTTCATTTTAATACTATTGCTATTGAACATGTATTTAAAAAATAAATTGAAAATATTGTAAAAATATTATTCTAAAATAAATACACTTGATCGAACAAAAATATAAATTGTATAGTCTAATAACTTTTATTTTATAATTATAAATATTTAGCGAGTTAAAAGTATTTTAATACATGATGTGAGTAAATATGTAGCGGGGGTGGTTATAATTCATGGTGTAACTGGTGTATAATTATAACTCATACTCCGTACACACTACAATCTTGCTTTCATATTTTGCTTATAAATTTGCTATCATCCCGTCAACATTTTTTTGTAGAAAAATGGATAAAAAAAATGGTTATTTTAAAATTTCAAAAATATATACGAAAATTAAAAATGATGAAGAATGTCTGTATAGAAGAATGTGTATGCATAATAAATGTAAATTCTGTATCATTTCTTCTTTATTTAAACACACCATGTATGCTCTATACTCACAGAAAGCATTTAAAATAATATCTAACATAAGTCTAAATTTTTTTTGATTTAGTTTTTAATATAAATAAAAATGTGATTTGGAAAAGAATTTTTTGGAAAATTTTTAATATTTAAAATCTAGTGCATACAACATAGAAAAAATATTGAAATTTAGTTTTTCTGTACAAATAACTTATTATCTAGTTCTATATTCCTTAAGAAAAAAGAAAAAAATTTTAAACTAACATTATGTACTCTTAAATAAAAGATGATTAATTAAGGATAAAATTATTACTTTCTAAAAAACTATTGGAGATTTTTAATTTTCATTAAATCAAAATCTAAAACCTCAAAAACCTTTCAGAACTGAAAAACCTTAATATTAACTTTTTAAATTGATACTATTTTTAATTTGATAATGTAATAGAAAATATGATTATCAGATTATTTGTTGACATTAAAATTCATTAAATATGGATATTATTATTAAAAAAATTAATTAATACTAAGGTTGGTACGATTTAAATTTACATTTATTTATTTTGAAGTATAATCAGGTCAATTTAAAAAACTTAATAATTTGTGCTTAAACTTTTAATTATATTATAGACGGTTTTATTGAATACTTAGTTATTATTTAATAAAAGGTATTGTTTAATATATTTTCAAATTCTGGGAACTAACGTGTTAAAAAGTTGGAAGTTAAGTTAGTTTAACGTTTTCACTTAACAATTAACTTTTGTTTTATTTGTAAATAAGTTAAGTGTTCGGTAATTGTGGTTAATAGACTATTTAGTATGGTGCTGAAATAAAATAGACTTCACCCGAAAAATTTTAAATAATGAAAAAAATATATAAATTATACATGACGTGACACTAATAAAATATCTATATCGTGAAAAGCAAGAAAAAACTATAAGGTATTTAAGTTTTTTAGTAATATTATAAAATATTAAAAAATAGATTTCTTTGTTGCAGTTATTATGGTGGGTAATTTAAATTTAATATACCTTTTGAATACAAAAATATTAATTTTAGAAAAATTTTCTTCAAGCTAACTTAATATGACACTTAGTTTTCAAACTTTATGTCTGGCTATGTTGGTAGACATTAATATAATGGTAGACAATGGTCTGGCTAGTAGACACTACACTAGGAATGTATTTTACTTGCACAAATATTAAACTTTTATAGATCAAATTATATTATGTAAAAAACACTAGCCTATTTTACCTCTTGTGTCTTTTTATGAGAAACCACTTCTCTAAGTCTTGGAGCGTTCACTCTATCCTCAGTAGACTCAGCCTCTTCGATCGCTGCTTCTTGCGGTAAACGTTTAACTGTATCGTATCTTCGAACTTGTACGTACGATTGTTGTGGAACAAAGTCATAAGACACGCTAGGTGGCGGTGTACCTAAGTCTCCAACAATTCTCACCCTAGTTGGGACGTCTTTGGGTAATTCATGGTCAGAAACAAATTTTCGAACGCCTTGCTCGTCTCCATCGTAAGGTTTATCACCTGAATTTTCGGGTGAGACCGTTTGAACATCCGTAGGAGAAGGCAAAGCGGTCGAGCATAATACGCACAACACGAGTATCAGTAGCATGTTATGTCGGCATGTCAGAAGCGTTCACGCGATACTAAATCACTTTTACTCACAGTGGTCGTCTGTGAAAACCTTTCTCCACTGAAGCGAATGAGGGAAAACAAGAAAAACAAAGCGATCCAAAGGAAAAGAAACACACGCTGATCGATTTGAATAGCCTATTCTCTGGAACTAGCGGTTGTTGTTTGGTTTTTACTAAAAATATATAATCGCAACCGTCACCACAAGTGAAAACAATTAATTTCACGAAGGAAAAATCACAATGAATTTAATCATCGATTTCAAATTATTAACTTTAACCGAGTACAAACGTAAGAATTTTGATTTCATTGGTCGTAAAAAAAAATAATTATGAAATTTATTAAACTTGACTCATACAATGATTTTGAAAAAAAAAAAATTACGTATTAATACTATTTACTTTCAGAATAAAAGACAACAATGATGTTAAGATTTAATTAAATTTCATTTAATTTTTGAATTACCGAGTATTAAAGTACCATTTTTTTTTTTTTTTAATGAGGCTGTGAAATAAATAATTTTTGGTCAATATAAAACCTTTCTAAAAACGATTTAATTAAATATTTAATTTCATTTCATTTAAATTTACATCCTTTTTTAGTCACGAAATTTACGAGTTTTTTTTCACTTAATATATTACTTGTATTTAAATGTTATTAGCATTTGAGTAAGAGATTGAAATGCCGTTGAACGCCTTCTTGTATTCGTTGGTTCTCTGAAACCAGTATAGACAAAAATATTCGTTATATTTTCATTTAATGTTGGTTTTGAGATTCACTGATTGTATGTTAGCCCGACAGCTGTCATAACACAATAATTTTTAGTAATAAATTCGTTGTAGAATAAATCATTTATGTTGATATAAACATCTGTGGTTCAAAATATGAATAATTAATTAGTACTTAATCGAGTTCTCTTGGCACAATTAATTTTTGCAACTGAAGATTTACAGAAGTTCAACATTAACACATGCATTTAAATACATCAACAGCCGTTATGCCGTTTTCACACTTAAACTCGACAAAAAACGAATGAACAAAACACGTCTAGCTCATAAATCCTTGGTAGCTGTTGGACTTATTATGAGGCAAATGTAAATGTTTGCTTCAGAGCTACGTTTATGTGACACTCTATTAATGACTACAGTTGAGCGCATGGCGCCCTGGTACTCTGACACGAAATATCGCATGCATTTGTCGCGCGGTGACATTGTCACCCCCGTCCGAAGTCCACAACAGTTGACAATATATTAATTTACAGCAGTTAGCTTCACAAAACCGATTAAGGTACTGTAACAAAAAAACTGTAACTTAATGACATCATTTTACGACGAACCGTGTTTATGGTACAGCTATTTGAACAACAACGACAGTGTTGAACGCATAAAGCCCTGGTAGGCACAAATTCGATACAAAACTAACGTGACGGCATCACAACGAATCGTTGCACTTCCTTTTCTCGGACCATTAAACAAAACTAATAAATCGTACGATTCTTAAAATATTAATTTTTATATTCATATTACATAGTTTTCCATGTTGATTTTTCATCGATTGACAAAAATTCAATTTTTTATTCAAATCGTTTATATTTATTTTAGTATTAAATTTCTACCTGTGGTTTGAAGTTAAAAAATTTTTATTATTACCATATAGTTTTTATTTTTGTTATAAAAATGTTTAACTCTATAAACCGATTTTTTTGATCAATTTGACCCAAATTTCATTCGAAAATAACCATCAAATTTAGTTGGAAAAATATCACTCTCATTTATGCAGTTGTCAAAAATGACAAATTCAAAAATTTTATCCGAATTTAAAAAACATACGGATTTAAAATTCTAAAAGACAATTAAGTTTTTTTTTTATGCATTTTTTAAAACTCCAAATATAGAAAAGGTTTGGAAAAGAATCCTTTCCACGTATAACAGTAAGAAAAAAAACTTAAATTTAATTATTGAAAATGTTTTGGAATATCTAATTTTTTTTTTAAACCTACATCAAATAAAAGCTTTTAAAGTAAACAATGATAATAAAAATAAAATTGTCCACTAATTGTTTTATTCGATAAAAAAATATGTAATTTTTATGTAAATATGTATTAATGTATAAATATGTAATTTATAAAAAAAATATTTTGTTTTTGAATTTTAAAAATGTTCCGAGACTTTTATGTTCTTAAAAAAATTTGTCAACAAAAACACGTTTTAATGAATTTGATGAGTAATTTGCCTCCTTCGTAAAAATTTGTCAAATTTTGATATAAAATGCTCAAGTCTTTTTTATAAATAAACGCATTGAAATATTTTCAATAGTGATGTCAATCACTATCAAATTTCATTTAAATAAAACTGAAATTTATGCTGAACCCTTTGAAATGGTATTTGTTTTATTTTACAAATATAAAAATATTGGTTTGATTACAATTTGTTAACATTAGAAGCAAATTATAGTTTATTGTGTTAGACAATAATAAAATTTATCCAAGTATTCATATAGAAAAATAAACATATTAATTTTATGTGCTATATAATATGTGAATAAGCTGAATTTGATTAGTAGTAGTTAAATTTCTGACCTTAATTCCGTCGTTCGAATATAGTTAATAATTCATGCGCATTAGTTCACTATTCTCTCATAGTTCATTAATATTTCCATTTTATTCATCATGAAATTCATATTACTTTTTAATTTATATTAAAGAGTAGAGAAAAATGTGTTCATTGAAAAACAATTAAACAATATTACTTCTTATCACCCTTCCGGAGCATGGCGACACGTTATATAATTACAATACTTATCTCAGTTTACAATATCCTATCCAAACTGTACCATTACACCCTCCTAATAACAGGATCTTGTCTGTATATTTATTTAAACTGTTTTGAGCCCAAAAATAGATCGTACAGTAAATTTTAGATAATTCATTGTTTACATAAGCATCATATTTTTATATGTTAACAAAATGAACAAATGTTAACAAATTAACCAACATTTTTTAATTATAATCTATAATTTTAAATAAAACCAGTTATTTTAATTATGTAATTATTAAACATATAATAAATACATTTAAATATAGTTAAGAGTGAAAATAGATTAATACAAAAATAATTTCCACTCGGAAAATTTTAAAAGCTTAATAAAATAATAACTTCATTAAAATTTTTTAAAATAAAATTATGGACATGTATTTTTGATTCATAAGTATTTAAGTAAAATGTTGATAATTATTTTTTTTATGCCTAATTTAAATAAATATTTTAATCTGAAAAAATATTTTTATTATTNAATTATTTTTTTTATGCCTAATTTAAATAAATATTTTAATCTGAAAAAATATTTTTATTATTTATTCAAATTATTACTAAGGACGTCATAAAAATAAAATAATTAAATTTTTTAATTATTCCCTAATAATTTATCAAACGTCTATTGATTAACTTTCAAGTTTTCATTTCATTTGAGTATATTACTACTAAAATAATGTTTTTTTAAATAAATATAAGTCATTTTATTTTTGCTCATATCAAAGTCATCTTTTACATCTCCGATGATTGATTGTTTTTCTTAAAAATATATTGAAAGGTTATATAATTGAAATCGAAAGATGGGATATTAGAATTATTTTCATATTTGAGGATTTGAAATCAATATATATTTTTTTATTTATTTTCCACTTATTTTAAAATGTATTAAATTCTCCACGTTATTCTTTCTTTTATCTCCTCCATTCTTCCTCCTATATCTGGTTAGGAAACTGGCTCTTAGAAAATTTTTCTGACAACTTAAAATTTTAATTTTTCTGTAAGTAGCATGTTATTTATTTCATGTCCTCAGTTTAGGAAAACCTACAAATTGATTTATGCTAAGACATATTACAAACACTGATTATTGCGGTGACAGTACATTAAACACGATATATCGTCGGCCTAAGTTGCAATTGTCCCAACTCCAAAATGATAACTTTTCAGGAGAAACAAAAAAAAACATTTCATTCATTTAAAAAACATTAATGAAAACGTGAAATATCTAGGAAAATATAATAATATAATAATAATGGCATTTTTGGAGTTGGAACAATTGCGACTTTGCCCGGCGATATTATTATTAAATGTGTATTATAAAACATGTGGACGTAGTCGTGTTCCGAACCGACTGAGCTTTTTGTTAAAAAAAACTCAGTAGCGTAAGGAAAAAACATCTGTCGTCGCCAAGTGGATCGATTGTCAAATGGATTAGTTTGACTGGAATCGATTGAGAGGCTAAAGTAGTTTTCTTCAGTGCAAGTTAAAGTGCGTTGTCAATGCAGTGTGTGTACGTGATTCTATTGGAACAAGCGTTGCAAACCCAGTTAAGTTTGGATAGCCAACATTGATATGCGTCAGCATATAATTTGTCCACCGCACTCGACAATAGTGATTACTAGGGTCTCAGAATGTAATAAACTACAATATTTATGCGACTTGCCTCTTTCGCTGTCAACCCGCCGATGGTTATAATATTACAACAGGCTTTATCTATTATTCAATTGTTTAACATTTGTTAGCAATAAATACTGCGAAACAGTAATAATATCGACACATATTGTTCCAACCAAATATTGAATTGATTTATGAACTAAAGTGGAGTTACATGAAAACGAGTGTACGTGACGAAGAGATTAATGTGCATTGCGCATTAAAAACAATTAAGCAACTGAAGTTGGTTGATTTTGTTATTTTTTAATAAATGGTCCAATGTTTTTATATACGCATTTCGAGTTTCCCATTTTATTATTTCAGGAAACGTTATTGTCCCATTCATAAGTTGACATTGAGAAACTAGTTGTTTATGTGAACACCGAATTTTCACACTTATTTCTTTTCAGTTTTCCTCATTTATTATTTCAGTTATGTTATCAAAATATTTCAGCATGAAAACATGAACACTTAATATCCTTTTGTATTCGTCATCCCTGTATTATGTTTTCGATGATTTAAAAATAATTTTCATACGCCATATCTATTTTAAACGACTCATGTTATTTGAAATGTTCTTAATTATTTAAACAGAAAAAGTAAAATTTTAATGCTTGAAAAATTAATTTCATCTTTTTGTTACAATGCCTCTGTAATTATTCGCTTTAAATAACGAGAAAAAATGATCACTACTCGCATATGCTAATTGGTATCCAATAAATTACCGAAAAAAACAAAATAATGAAATAATGAATTAAATAATTTACTTGGATCTGTACTTAAAAATTTATTAAAGCTTTTCACATTTTATAATGAACTTATTAAATTTTAATGGTTTATCAAACTGTAGGATTGAATCTTTTAAAATATATTAAACTGAGTGTTCATAATAAATAAATCTATTGACACATTTCACTGTGATATTAATTTAATCCATAATCTGCAAAAAAATGGAAATTGGTTTAAAATGTTTTCAAGTGATCTGTTTTATTCAGTAGGTCATCATATTAACCAAATTCAATTACTAAGATTATTAAATGGATTTAAACAACAAATACTTGAATAATATCCTTTTTAAATGTTATAAAGTATACCCCATAATACCTTATTTAAATTAATTGATATAAAATTATATAAATTAAAAGATTGGAAATTAATAATAAGCTTACGAATCTACTATTCTATTATTTTAAAATGTATTAAGTAATTGTAATTAATCGCGAAGTAGAATATTTAAAGGGTAGAGAGTAGTTAAAAACATCTACTAGAAAATATAGTAGTATGAAAAAAACGAAATAATAGCTCTTCGAAATGAATGACCCAGTGTAGTAAAAATAGTACTATAAAATTTAATATCAAAATTAATTTGTAGAACTCTGAATATAATATAATTAGTAATATAATTGACTAAACTTAATTAAAGTTCACTAATATTAATGAAATATGCATTTAATTATAAAGATCTCTGTAAAACTAATTGTTATTTACTTCTAAGTAGGTAAATAAAAGTTTTTTCATTTATTAATTAAATTCGATTCTTAACGGGCGACACTAGAACATAAAGACGAGTGACAAGATCCGGAAGAAAACCAAAAGAAAGTACCTGTCTTCGTCGCAATTGAGGTTTTCTAGTTGAACAGTTTCTGTGTTAGTTTTTTTATTTATTATGCAATGGTAAAGGTTTGACTAAACAAACAAAACATCCAAATTCTCGAGCGTTATAGTTTTGCTGTAAAATTATCATCGTGATAAACTTTAGATTATGGCATTTATTCATATTTAAATTGATTTTATAAAATAACTTATTTGACTTTAAAATATACCATTATTAATTGAATTGTCATTCAGAAGTTCGCGGAAGTTTCTAAAAGTTAACATTGGTTTATTTTAGTGAAAATTGCTTGAATGTAAAAAACATATCTCACGCCAAACATTATAAAAGATTAGAGTGTGAAAATATTCACTGAAACAGAAAATTAGACCAGCGCCACTGTTGGCTTGATGTTCGAGTAGTATCTTTTGCAACAACGATTTTTAATAAATCAATACAAAGAAAAATTAAGTAGTATGAAAGGATATTGTGTGTGTGTGTTTAGTGTATTATGTGAAAAGAATATATTCGCGCGTGTGTGTGTTAATGTCACACGGTTATCCTTTCCGCCGCCATCGTTTTAGGGTTTGCGCAAAATGGTTTCGAAACGTCTGTTTCCGTATAGCGTTGCCTTTGATAATTTATGACCGTGACTGGAAAGACTGAACGACGCGATACATTACAGATTTTGTGGTTTAATCGAGGAACTATGTGAAAATTCAGTTTAAACCGATTATGCTAAAACAATATTATGATACCCATTAAAACGGATCTCCAGGATGTTGTCCGTTGTTGACAGAGATCAGGTTGTCAGTCCTATTATTATGTCATCTAAAAATTTGACCATTTCAAGAGTTGTATTCAATATTGTAATTATATCAACTACACAGATAAATCAAATTACAAGTTAGTACAAAAAAGCCATCGGCTTAAACGCAAAAATTTAACATTTAATAGGAAACCTTATTTTTATACTTTCCTAAGTATTTATATATTTTAGAGTAAGATGGAAGACTCGATGTTGGTGACATCTTAATCAGAAGAAATATCTGACCAAGAGTACATTTTGTATATATGATTTACATTTTATATTGATAGTTGGCAAACTATTTTTAGTTTGGATACAGCAAAGTTCATAATAATAGGAATGGTTACGAGTGTATAAATTCACATCCCCAGCCATTTTTTAATTGAAAATTATTCTCCGATTTATCTTACATGTCCCTAAAATCTCTTTAAAATATCCACCTAAATTGTTTACCGAAAGATGTTAATAAAATGTGAAGTAGATAAAATACTATAGATTGATTTATTATATATCTTTGATGATGTTAAAAAAAATGTAAATTTTGTAATTCAATACCGAAATTTAAAAACTTTTCTTTTGTTTAGAAATTACCTGGATTTCAGTTATTAACGTAATTTTATTATGAAACACAAAATAACATATATAAAATATTTTTGGTGCTATTATTTTTAATCAGCTCGTTAAAACAAAGAAAAATTATATTAGAATGCTAAACCTTTTCATCGTTATCCATGAAAAAATGTGCACATAAAGTATTCATGCTCTTGTGAATAATCGATTTAGAGAAAATGAAAACATCAAAACTGTTATAAATTGGGTCACATTTTAGAGTTATTATAATAAATAATGCAGAGTAGCTAAACGAGGTATAAATTAAAAAAAAAAACAACTTTCAAAAGTGTTTAATTAAAAAAATTTCACTAAGCATGAGAGAAACTAAGTCCAAAATAAACAAAGTTCATGTTATCTCGACGATTTGGCACAAAATTCTTTTATTTCAAGATGTGGGTTAGGATTGTACTCGTGGGCTTGTGTGAGGACTTAATTTGCAGTGTACTTACTTTCGGCTGGTTTTTAAAAGATAAAGTATTTACCGGTTAAAGTAGACCGCTATTTTTTTTTTTAACATATGAGAGAAATTTCCTGATATTATCCATAATTATTTTTAATATTGTCATTGTTAGTATAACGAATAAGGTAATTTCTATAGAATACGCATGTTTTATGACACTAATAAGAGACGTAGAAGTCATCTCTGCAAGGGAAAAATATTACAAGACCGCGAGTAAACAATATCTGACGTCGCTCATAGAAAGCGTACCTGAAACGTGACTATAACCGGAACAATAGTTTTATGCATTTGTTTTAATCAATATGCAAACTGATTATGTTGATCGTTTCCGGGATTGACAACATACAAGTGAAAGGCATATAAAACATAGTTCAGTTTCTTATAATAAAATATTTTATAAAAAAATATCGTTTAATAGAAATAGAAAAATTACACACTAACAATAATGATATCATATATATATATATATAGGTATTTATATACAAGTAAAATCGTCATTGATGTCACTATAACGATCTAGGACCGTAATCATCCATCATGGGATTCCAGCCATTGTTTGCAGCATTGTATTCTTTAGATACCATCAAATCAGATTTTCGTTGAGCTACATTTTGAACTTTGGGTTCCAAAGGCGTTGGTTGAGGGGAAACAAAATATTCCATAATAGGATGGTAGTTATAGTTGGTTTTGGTAGTAGGAGATGAATCCGGTGAATCTGTTACCATTATTTGTGTTGTTGTTGTTGTCGGCCTATAAAAAAAAAAAACAATACAGTGTCATCAATTCATTTTTTTATGTTATTGATAAAGTACATGTAATATCACGATAAAAATAAATTTCCAAGAGGTTGTTTGTTTTATTAGAACATTTTGAAAATGTTTAATATTTTATCTAAAAATACATTTGATTACAATATATACTGTGCTAATTTTTAGTTTTAATTTCTAGTTAAGATTTATAACTTAAGTATAGTTAGTACTAACAATTTGTCAAATAAATTAAAAACGACTTTCATTTTTATAGCAATTTAAAAATCTCTGGTTTTAGAAATTTATCACAAATGTTATACGCTTATAATTTACGCAGCAGGGTCATAAAACAAATTACTCATACAAAAAAATCTAGTCTTCATTCAACTAAAAATTGCTCATAAAAAGAAATTGAATAGCAAAAAAAACTATAATACAGAATAGTGAAACAAATGTTAATTAAATGTTTTTATAAAAAAATGCCAACTATTTTTACCATTTAATCAGGAACATGTTTTTTTTTACAAATTACCTTAAATATAATTATTTATCATTAAAGATTTAGCGTATATTTCTATTTTTTCTTAAGTATTATGAGGAGTACATACGTTATTAAAACATTTTAGCTAATTATTAAATTTCATAAGAATTTAGTAGACAAATATGCATTTACTAGTAAGTTAATATTTCCCATTAAATATATAATCTCTACTGGATTGTTTTTAATTACTGTCCCGAGCGTTTAGAACACTTTTAATAAAATGACATTCATAATAAAAATATATTATACATTTAACTTTCATAATAATATAATTAACTAAAATCAAATTTTTCTTTTCAAAAAAAAAAATTCTTCATTTAGCTTTATAGTTTTAATATTACTGAGATTTATTTTATAATTTGTAAGTATTTCCAAGTAAAAACTGCGTCGCAAAAAAACACTGTGTTTGTGAAAATAGACGAGTGATGTAATGTAATGGATTACGTGACTAAGTTCGGTGCGCACATCCTTTTTTCCGAACATTGATCACTAAAACAATATTATCTGAGTAAGGGACTATTAAATAAAAATGAGTTATCATCATACCGTACTGTAATGAATATCAATTAAATCAATTCGATCATTTTAAATTTGCAATGTATTAAATAAATTATTGTAACTGTACTATTCCTTTCTGGGCGTAAATAAATAAATCGTCTATGGCTTAAACATGTATTGAAAATATAATAATTTTTTATTTACCTAATTTAATTTTATATTTCTCATAACGAATATTTATTTATTAGATAAATTATTAATTGTATTTATTAGTATATTTTTGTAAATAAAGTGAATTTTATTTTATACTTTTAGTAAATATTTTAATGGTATTTTACAATTATCCTTCAATCCCATTAATCATCATAAGAAAACTCCATTCTTATATTGTTTGATTTATTATTATTATTATTTAATCGTAATCATTTATGTCGAAGAAATGACAACACATTTATTAATCTTACGGTATAAATTGTGAACATTCAAATAAGAAAATGATTAAAGTTTTAACTTAATAATAAATATATTTTTACAGTTTTTATTTTATATAATAATCTAAAGGCTATTTAATTAGTTAATTAATGTAAAAATCTTTTTTTTACCACCCTTATCTTTGATCTATGACCTTAATCGCTATCATCTCTATGGCGTTTTTTTAGATACTTTTTGTACATTTTTAACTGGTATAAACATTGTACATAATATTATTTACAGTAAACATTAGGATCAAAATTATTAATATTAAAAAAAGCGACTACATTGTATATTCAAAGGAGTTATCGAGGCTGAGTGCTTTTATTCACCGGTAGTAAAAATAATATAAAAATGAACGTAATTAAAGATTCTTTAATTCGCTAAGCCACTAATAATCAATTACAATTTTTTTGTTTTACTTTATTTAAATCTTGTTTAGTAAAGAAAAGTGTATAGCATTTTGGTTTGGAATAAAGAAAGAGCACGTTAATCATAAAACCAAAAAAAAATAAATAAAATATTGATGTATGTCGTTTTTCCTAGAAAGTGTCGATATGTTGATATCTGCTAATTACCTATTTTTATTTTTTTTATACGGCCTTCTTGCATTTGGAGGGTATTTAGCAGGATGCGTTTCGTGAACGACATACTGATCTGTAGCAGAATGCGGAGTAGGTAATCGTTTTACATTCGATAATTTTTTTTGGTTTGTATTCGTAGATTGTGGATTTAAATCATCAAATACTAAGTTGTGAGAATCTAAACTGTCAGAAATTAATGGGTTCAGTTCTTGAAGGTGACACGAACAACATGTGGGAACCTAAAATATATTTTATTATTAAACGTATTTTTCAAATATCTTAGGAAGTAAAAATACTTTAAATATATCCATAGTAAGTCCAGAGAACTGATCCCATGTCAGGAGTCTATGGTAATTATACACTTGACGGCATGTCGACTTGAATTTTGTGGACACGTGTGAACATCGCGTATCTGGTTTTCTAAATAATTAATTAACATTATTTTGTATAATATTCAATTGTGTTGAAAATGTTCAAAACAAATCTATATATTTTAACTTACAAACATTTTTCAAGTCTCAAAGTTTGCACGTATTCATCAGTGTTTACGACATACTTCCATTGGCCATTTGTGGATCTAGCTTTTTTTGGTCTTGCTAAGGTAACTTGGCTTTGGCAAATTGCGTTCTCTAAATTTTCATCTATTCTTCTGTGTAATATGTTTAAATTATTATTTGCTTATCTATCTAAATGAAAATTATTGTGCGTACCGTTCAGTTATATTTGCGTCATATGAAGTGGTCATATTATACTTAGGATCCTTAAGTAATGCTTGAAAAGCAGTCTTGCTATTTGCTGTGTCCTCTATAGTTTCTGTAATCTCAATACTAAACAAATGTTAACAAAACTGTTATTAAAAAATGGAAAAGTATTGAACTATAGTACATTGATTTCAACAAAATTGGCAATAAAACTTTATTTTATTGTACTTAAAATATATTTTTTGTTTTCACTGTTAATTTAAAAGCTTTAAGTATTAGAGCAACATCCCTTTGAAACAAACTATTTAATTGCCAAAACAATAGTTCTTCGAGGCGTACAGATTAAATGCTTTAGTAATACATTTAAAAGTTGAATTCTTTACAGTAGTTACACAGAAAAAATTCTCATATATCTTAAAATAGAATTAAAAATATTTAGAGAACTATTTGTTGGTCTGTTTGTTGAAGTAAAAAGTTTATTATTGAATTCTATGTTTCCTCTGAACTGTTCACAAAAATAGTAAGCCCTTTTTTAAAAAAAAAAAAAAAAGGCAAAATTTCCTAAAACGCTCAATCAGAAGGATAATTGTAAAGTAATAATAAAGTTCTAAAAATCTGCAGTTTCTTTAAAGCTACTGAAAAAAAAATTATGCTCATACATTTATTCACCTTAGTAATTTGTGATTAGAAATATATTTTAATAAAGAAATGTTGAATTTTAAAACTTTATAGAGACTTTATTGTTAACCTTGAATTAAATTAACCGGTTTACAATGCAGCCGATAACCGTTAGAATTTTTAATGATAAAAATATTTAAAAGATTTATGAATTTGTTTATTTTATATTTAAACGAAAATTTCGGATTCGCCTAGTTAAATACATTTCAATTTTAAGTGAGTATAATGTTTTTGGCATCATAAAATTATTAAAAGCTAATTAAAATTTATAAAACCAAAACAAAATAATTTATTTTAAATAGTCCTAAACTATATTCAAATTAATAATTTTATTTTAGATTCATATTAAATTATTTTTATAAAAAGTAAACAAATCTTAGGAATATTATAAATATATGTGTATAATTAGGGTTAGTCAACCTTAAAATTTGTCACTAATTAAAGCATAATCTTACAAAAAACATTTTTGTATATTAAATATGAAATGAAAACAGAATTCATTGATGAGAACAAAAACTATTGTTAAATTTTATATTTAATTTAAACTGAAAAATAAATAAGGATTTTCAAAAAATTGTACATATCAACTAAAATAGTATTTCTATTTATTACATAAAATTTCTATTACCAAAATCAATAGTTTTCTATAATTTAAACAAAATTTATGTAAATTTCAAAGACTAAAATATTTAATATTCTATTGAAAATTATTATTGTAATTTTAGCTTAGACTAAATCCCATCAGTAATAGTATAAATTAGTTTGAAGAATAAATATTCGTTTAATTTATTTTAAAATGTCAATAAAAAGCTATAACACATGCAATTTTTCTAGTAATTTTTTTTTACTTTTATCTCATTTTAATAGTTTTTACAGCCATATAACTGTTTTATGCTTACTCGGGGTATGACTGCACATTAAGACATATACTGTCGCCAAACAAATCACAGTCATCTGTAAAACTTTCTATTGTGGGCAACACTGGTTCTTGTACTTTAGGTGGACGTTTAGGTGCGATCGAATTTATTGGAAAATAGGGTCTCTTCATACCTGTTTCGATAATAATGTAAATGTCTTATTATTTGGGTCATCGACCTTGAGATAGCTGTGAGTAAATAAAACCAGTTACCAGTCAGTTCAGGAATCCGTTGCGGAAACCGGCGAGTCAACGGGTTTGGCGAACGTAGACGATTAGATGAAATTGGCGATCCGTGTATATGATATGACTGTAAGTAAAACAAAAAAATATAACTGAATGTGTACGTTAACTCAAAGAAAGATATAAAATAAATGAATTCAAATAGTTCAAAAACAAAATTATAGTTTTAAACTGACCCCAAAATTTGATGCTCTAGCAGAAGATTCGTCGCCATTATTACCACTTCTTAACATAGCCGCTATATCCAAGCTAATTGGCAGTAAAAGTTGAGCGTTTAGCTCTTTATTTTTAAGGTTATGAGTCTGACCTTTACCCATTACCATTCCGGCAAGAGCCAATCTCTGTGCGGCTGTCATGGCTTTAATGATTGGAACGACTTGAGCCAACTTCTCCTTCGTTCCTGGATTGTGCATAGCTTTTTGTATAAGTTTTTGCATTATGTCAGCTTTACGATCGGCCATATTTCTACAAATTAAAAAAAATAAGTAACATAAAACTGGGCGTTTTTAGAATAATTTAAAGTACTTGTAAACATTTGTATCATTACTTCTGGAATACTTAATCATTATTATTCAAAAAATAAAAATAAAACTTAGAATTTCAAATTGTGATTTCATTTAATTATATGTTTATCAATCATAAAATTAAAAAAAAAAAAAGGAATTAAAAATTGACTTTCTTAGTTTAATTATTCTGACCTTTATTAGTTCATTATTATTTTAGTTATGCAATTGACATTGTTATTTATTATGAGTCATTAGTACAAATAATATGAAAATAATACGATAATTCGGCCAGAAAATATTTATAATTAAAATATAAATATTTTTTGGTAAAATAAAGATGTTAAATGGGATAACTTTTATATGACAATAGTGTTTTACCTAAAATATAGCCATAAATTATTGAAAAAAAAATTAAGTAGAAAATTATAAAACATGAATAACGGTGAATTTTTACATAAAATAACATTTTTTGTGACCGTTTACATATAAAAGCCACTCGGACTTAATTTATCTCATAGTATGTAACATAAGTTTTACTTTACACGTATGTTTGAATTTCTGAGTAATTCCGGAACATTAATTTTTCAAAAAATTATGGTACCTTAAGTAAAAAAAAAAAGTTAATATAATGTCGAAATTATCGATTATAAAAATCATAATTTTTGAGGATTTTCCTCATTTGCACAGAACGACAGAATTTTTTTTCAATTTTTAAGGGAAATTTCTTCAACTATATACAATTTGTGATCTTATGTAGATTTATTGAAAAAAAAACATTATAAATTAAATTAAAAACCTTCTCAGATGCGCATCGAAGCTCTAAGTTGCTTCCTTTATTAGACATAAAATAATATAGAATATAAAATAATGTAATAATTAGTTAATAATTAATATAGTGTTAATTAATAGTTAATAATAAAATAATATAGAAAATAATCCATGATTGATAAATTAAACAAATATTTCACTAAGAACAAAAAAAAAAATGCTCATTATTAATTATTTGTTTTTGATTAATACAGTTGTCAATGTTAAATGAATCACTATATATACTAACAACTATTTTTTTATTCCATGGGAATAAAATTTATAATGCAAAAATCTTTTTCATGTCTCCACGATACGTATAAAAAAAAAGAAATGAAACTTTTCTATCTACAGCAAGAGTAGAATTTATCATTTTTATGTCCCCAGTATTGGACTTGAAATAGGATTTTCAGCACATCCGTTTGTGTACATGTGGGCGTTTTTAAGAGAAAGCGGGTCGCGGAGTGCAATTTTATCTAAAACTAATGCTCTTTAACGACCTGGCAATGACATGTTTAATTTTGTTTCCATTAAGGGGTGATTTAATGTTAATAACATGTTGTTTGTACCAAATACTCACACAGCGCTATTATCTGGAGCATCATTATCAAGATCAACGCTGTTGGGATCTATCGTTTCCTCGACGCCATTCATCGAAGTGGTGTTTGGCGAGTTACTGCCGTCATTGTCTTGAGCATTGCTCCTGTCGTCTAACGGAAAGTCTTCGAGTTCATCACAAACAACGGCTGCAAACGCCTGTAAGAAAAATATTAAAAAATATTCACCTTTTTTTTAAATAATTGTATTTACCTTAAAAAAAAAAAAAAAAATGACTTGTTAAACAATATTAACTATCAAATATCTAAGATGCTCTCTCATTTTTTTTATTAAAAAAGAAGAATATATGTGTGAGAAAACTTAACCACTAATTTAAAAAAGATGTACTTTCACCTCATCACTTTTATCGTTAATAAAAAAAACCGATACCTCGTATCCTTAGTAATTAAACTCGTGTATCGCTCTATGTTCTCATTAAATATTTTATGTATTTAAATATGATAAAATACTATATATTTTGTTGTGTCAAAATTGTACAATTATATAATAATGGTGTATAGATCCATAGTCATAATATCAACTATTTTTACCAAAATCGGTCGTTACGCTATCCATTTAGTACAAAACAGGAATATTCTTTATACTAAACGTTAGTTTTTTTAACATTGTAATTTAACATAATTTTACTAAATAAACTGTTTAATTTGGAAAATCAGTCATGTGCTATAATTACTTAAATCAAATATAAATTACTGAATTATGATATGGATAACTCGCCACGATATTTAAAATTATATTATTACAACAGACAATAATAAAAAAAACCATATAATATATTTAATAATTATTTGAACTGAGTTACCAATATAGAATACAAAAATGAGTAGTTTATCTTAAACTCAAAACTGAAACCTTATTAGAGATTTGTTGAAAATTTAACAAAAACAATAATATTAATTAAAATAATATAGAAATTTATTAAGTTATTCCCTAATATTTAATTTATATAATTCAAAGAACTCTTATATCAAATTTTGAAATTTATTTAGTGTATATTTTAAATTGAGACGAAACAGACAAAAAAGCTGTTAAAATTGGGTTATTTAAATTTAAAATAAACTTTAAACACATGAGTTTCTCAGAAATCCCAAAATAAACTGACGAATTTTGACACTAGACCACTTAAGCAAAATTTAGAAAAATCATCATATTCTATTAATGTTTACTGTTTAATTGTAAATTAGAGGATAAATAATAATTTATTTAGCGTTCAAAATTTTTCTCAGTGGACTATAACGACAACATCAAAGTGTAACTTAAAGATATAATATAAGACAAATAAATATTTCAACGTATTATGTACAAATTTATATTTTATTTTTTTATATTTATTGTTAATTATTTCTTATGATATTTTTAGTCAGTTTTAAAAAAATTAATGCATGTAGCTACATTTTTAATACATTTATTGAACCACATTTTTTTATTGAATGCAACAAATTAGTTTCAGTGACGTATAGTTTTATTTGGAAAATATGAGCAATAAAATTAAAAAATAATTAATCCTAATCACAAAATTAAAGGTTTAAACTTCAAAATATTGTGAAAAACTACATTACACATTTAATTAAAGAGATTTTATTAAATCTTACTTAATAGAATGGCTGATTTATTTCTATAAAAGAGGAAACCCTCTTTTACAACTTAATAAAGAATATCTTCACAAAACAAATTTTAAAAGAGACGTTAATCATAGTTGGTAATTAACACTTGAATAACTAAATATAATAAATTACTTAAAATATATTGTATAGTTAGAGTCTCTCCAGAAGTAAAAAAGTTTTAAGAAAGTTAGTTCATTACGCTAAATTCTTAAGATATAAAAAAGCATACTTACAGCTGCCACAAATAACAAAAATATCCCAACTTTGTACATGTCAAGACGGTAATTTAACGGTCTTCATTTCCACTTAAACAGTACGCGCTGATTAGTTGCTATCTATACGAATGAGATTCTATTAAAACTTAAGACAACATAATGAAGAGCCACCTGGAATGAGATAAGTCACTTTGTCTTGTGCTCAGTAACATGCCGCGATATGTAATTCTAAACCGGTCTATTTGGTGGGGTACATGCGCGCGTTCACGGAGACCGAATAAGTTGGTCATTCAAGTTTAAGGTCAATTACGTCTGTAAGGCGCCAACACATTCGGTCCAGAGTCGTTTTAATAATAATTATGCTATGCTATAGTGACAATAAGACAATTACAAAACAATTTAGTCCAAATAGCTTAAATTAAAATTTAATCATTATATGAATATCATATAAGTTGAATATTTGTAAACCACACTTAACTAAAAACACATAAATATATACACAGTGAGTTATTTAGTATATTACCTCCCATTTTTCATTAAAATTTAAATTATTTTTATAAACCATTGTAAATATCAAGTTTATTTTAAAAAATAATTATTCATAAGAGTTGATTTTAGGGGTAATTTTTGAAAGTTAAATGGAAACCTATTATTTATTTTTTACTAATAAATGGAAAATTTTCTAAAAAAAAATTTAAAAATAAGTATTCTATTATTACTTTTTGAGTTTTTAGAATAATAGAAAAACTAGTTTTCGACAATGGTTGGTATTTACAATAGTCTATAAAAATAATTCAAATATTAATCTATACATTTTTATGAAAAAATTATTATTTAAATAAAATATGGAGGGTAATACACTTAATAATTCACACTGTATACATATACTGTGTTGAGTAGATTAGATAAATTTCTCTCGATAATTTTTTTTAACAATAAATCAATACCAAAAAATAGTTTGTATATGTAAAATGTAAAAAACAACAACAAATATTCTATTTAATTTGAAATTTTTGTTTTGACGCTTGAAAATTTATAAAAAAAAGAAGTATCATTTTTTTTTTTTTATTTATTTTTGCAATAGCTATGAGAAAAAAGTCATATTTTGATTAAATAAGTTTTACCAGTCCATAAGAAAAAATAAAACATTACCTGATTATATGACTATTGGAATCATTGCTATATTTTAAATCTTTATTAAATTAGTAGTGAATAAAAACTGATATTATGTTCAACTTTAAGGCATGTGTCGTACTGATGCAGAAAACTAAGGTAATATTGTAATATATAAGAAGAAAGTGTTATCCTTAGCCAAATTTGACTATAATTGAATCGTTTTAAATTACCACTGTGGATGAGACATACACTGTGTGTCATTATGATTATACTTCTTCTCGATGTATGAAAATAGGTCAATGTTATTGGAATGATTGTGTTTACATACATTTCCTTACTCTTATTAGCTGTTCCGTTAAAAACGAATGTAAACATATTATTGCCTTAGTTTTGAATACGACAATATCTAACTCATGTGAGCAATACTTTAGTAATATTATAACAACAAACCAGAAACTACATTAGTATGACAGTAATAGTTTATTTATAAAGATCTAGCTTTCAATATCACAAAATTTCACTATACGTCTGTGTACAAATCAAACAATACACCTATGTCGTTAACCTGGAATCCTAGATAATAACAATACATGTCATATAACTTAAAATAAATGACAAATTCTTATAATTTGTTTATTTTTAAAAATTTTCTGGCATACTATGCACACATTTTAGGAAACATTTATGGTTCTTCTTTGTTGATCTCAAACCTCAATTATTCGATGCTGGCAATATTCTTGTATATGTCAAATGAAAATTTGCATCCAACAAGACATCGTTAATTTAGAATTGATTATGTTATCTTGGATATTAGATATTGTTGACAATACTGTAGCTAATACGCCTACAAAAACCAGAAATGACGCTAATATTAGACGTCTTGATCCGACGTCCAACGATAATTTAGCATTAGGAAATGTTCGGTAACAAACTCTTTTTGAAGTTTTTATCTTTGAATAATGAAGTGATTTTATCTTAGTATAAAATATTGGTGGTAAGATAAACATCAGCGGACCCGTAAGTAATGAACCAATCAATCCCATTACCAAATCGAATCTAGGCACGACCTCTCCAATCAATACAGCCAACATCATAACAAATGTTCTCAATATACATCTTTTCCATGTAAATTCTATAAAAGAAAACAACATTTTAAAAAATATAGACAAAATAATTTCCAACTATCAAAACCTCTTGGTATACGAAGATGGTGTTCGATATTTTGAAATAATGCGGTAGTACTGACCACTGTTGATAAACATATTTGGAGAGTAACTAGAATTATGTCAATATTTAAGACTTGACTTTCAGGTAAAGCATCGAGTAAATTTGAGTTAACTAAGCCTCCTAATTTCAAATATGCGATGACTGTTGTTATTGAAAATAAACAACATGTAACTAAATTATATTATATGAAAAGAATATTAGTTTAGTAAGTAAAACAATAAACGGTAATAATTAAAATTACTGAAAAATGCGCCTATAAGTACAAAAGGTAATTTTCTCCTATCTTTCATATCCATTTGCACGGTGAGAATCAATGGATGAACATCAAACTGAAATTACATTTAAGTTATAATTATCTAGAAATATAAAGACGTTTTCTTAACTTTTTTTGAAAAATTAATTTTTACCTGAAAAGCAAGCACACCATAAGCTAAAGCTATTGTATTCCACGATGGTTCGGCTACAGGATAATTAATATCATTAGGTATTTGCATCATTATTATCCACGTTAATGCGCACACAGAAACCACAGTAAACACAGATATTGAACCGATTAACCTTAAAAGTAATTTTTTTTATCCAAACATATTTTTGAAATACTTTTTTTGCAAAATCAATATATGATTATTGTAATATTAATCAATAGTAAACTAAAATGCAAGTGGTATTTTTTACTAATAATAGCAACATGTTAATTCATACATCATCATACTTCATGTCTTTTGGACTACCGAGCCAAATCGGCGGACATAACACTAGTCCAATAATAATTAACCAAAAACAAAACGATATGTTAATGATTCCATCGGGCGCTTTCATTCCAAGCGTATGAAGGTTATCAGCAGCTTCAAAATAACAGTAAATAAATAATAACTTAATTTTTTATACCTTATATATAATATTTAGAACATTTTTACCTATTAATAAATTTGGTATAGTTGATCCAAATACAGTAATATCTTGCATTACAGATACTATTCGTTTAACATTTCTTCCAAATACTAGTTCAGCTATTGCGGCATAAGGATACCTCAATAATTAAAAAACTAAGTTATTTTAGTTTAACCAAATTATTTTAATCCTTTTTTTTTTTTTTTTTGAAGGGGCAAATTATAGTCACAATTACCTATTTTTATGTATAATATTTGGTTCAATTTCTTCGGCTATGATCCAGCATTTTCCCAACAATATTGCTGTGTATATTTGAACCGCAAAAACACAAATGGCCAAAGGTATTCCTAACCACCCTATGTATAATATTCATTTAGATTAAATCCGGTCTAAAAGCGGCATAATATTACATTAATCAAGACGCTATACTCACCGCATTTCATTATAGGCCCAGGTAACATAACTATAGGAAAGACACCAAATAAATCAACAATACATAAAATCGCGAACGGTACAGTTAAGCCTTGACGATTAGGTATCATTTCAGTATAACAATTGAAATGTTGTACAACTTTAATTTATAAATTTTTATCAAAACTAGAATGATTTTCCGCGTGACACTGTAAAATACTGAAATACTTACTTGGCTACTTGAATAGAATGCGTATTAACCAATTATGTAACATGTAATGTAGAAGTTTTGAGAAACCTTATTTTACGATTTAACTCGGTTATAGTATTAAGTAATTTTATATTTCATAGACATTATTCATTTATTATAAGAGTGATAATTTAAAATCAAAATGTATTTTCTATTCCGATATCTTTATTAAAACATTTATAAAAATCGCTTTTGAAAATTGTTTTTCACTTTTATAATTAGCTGGTGTGTTTAATAATCATTTGTTGATCAACTTCTCAATTTTCAAACAAGTTCATCGCGTAATAGTTTTTTTATGTTAACAAAAGATTGTAAGATAAAATAACGGTCAACTTTTATTTAAAAAATAAGTCAATAAACAATTTTATAGGTAGATGTGATGTTTCAGTTAATACATTAATTTATATTCACTTTTAATGTTTCTGAATGTTTACATTAATTTTTCTTTTTGATGACAGCAGTTTTAAATAAGATCATTCCTATGTACAATGCACTTTTTATTTATCTCTATATTCAAGGTTTGTGAATAATTGGGACAGAATGTACGGTGAAGTGAATCTGGACATGCTTCCGTAATTCAAGCAAAACAGAACTAATACGATTTCTATTTAAACGATGCGGCATATTTTAAACAAAAAATATTAAGATCTTCTAGATATAAGAATTTATATTGCTTTTATAAACAATGTATACTATATCCGTGTTATGGGGTACCGTGGTAAAATAAAAACTATTAATACATAACATAAACTAGGTTAATTTAGGAGTGGTCTTACAGTTTTAATATTAAATATTAGTTTAATAGGATTTTTAAAAACTTTTAAATCAGAATCTAACTAAGTTTTACGCAGTAGTATCGAAAATTAGTGGTTACCATTATTTTGATGACAATTAATGATTTAAACACTTTCACAAAAACGTTTTGATGTGGAACTCTTATTTATTTTCACTGTACAACTGTTAACTTAATAGTCCATTAAGTCAAATATTTCCAGATAATAAATTATATTATTATACTTAATTTTACTAAGAATAAGTTATGACGCTAATTTATGAAGGAGACTTTTATAGTTTTGAATAAAATTATAAAAATTAGTCTATTTAAAGTACATAAGTTAGGGCTATTTATAAACAGCGTATTAGAATTGTAAATAATAATAAAATAAAAAAATTAACGATGTTGAAGAAATCTTCCTTAAAAAAAAGTAAAAATATAGTACTACAACATAATCGATTAACTATACCTCACGTAATATATTTAAATGTATAAAAATATTATACATTTTTTTATTAAGAAATTAATGGTTCATCTCTCTTTAAAATAATACCAGCCTAATTTTTTTAAATGGATACATATATGATTAGCATAAATTAGCATAAAAATAAGAAAATAACTAATCGATAGCAACATGAACTTGAAATAGTATTTTACAAGACATTAGGATTTTTACACTACGGCGCGATGAGTAAAGCGAGTCTGTTTATTTTATATTTGGACAATTATGAACCCTATAAAAGTCCTAATATCTTTTAAAGTACTGGTTCAAAAGTTGTTAATCGCTGGTCATTTTCTTGTTTAGATCATTTCCTTATTTTTAAGATAGTTAAACACGTGTGTTTCCACTTAAAAAAACTTAAATTGATACAATTTTAAAAGAAGACAACAGTTTTTTTTTTTAATTTTATCAAATATAATATTATCGAAAAATAAGTGTTAGAGGGTAGATTAAATTCTAAAAAGAGAACAATTATAATACGTTTTATATTTTTAAAAATATTAGGCATAGTTAATCAATCAACCTATAATATATGTGTAGTACAACAAAGCAAAAAATAATTGTTTATCACATATTCAAAATCAGCTAAATATTAATTAAACTACAACATTAGATCCAACAAATCCAACACTTTATTAAAATCAATCGTCACACATAATATATATTAAAGTTTTTAATAAAACAATAACCTAATATGCTTACTACGTATCAGAAGCAACTGCAAGATTTAAATTATCAATTACTTTATCAATAACAATTAAATAACTAAAAAAAGTACATCACTATGTTCTTTAAGATTTTCAATTTATGTGTAACAATATCATTCTACAAATGGAACAGATCTAACTGAAAACTTATATAACTTTTGATTCAATAATTATTTCGTTTTTTTTTTTAACAATTTTTTTATTCCTGAAATACGTTAAAATGATATTTTTTATTATTCATTTTTAATATTAAAAAGAATTATTATTATTGTTTTTAATTTATAACTATTCAAAAATTTCAAAATAACTCAAACTACAATATATAAACACAAGTACAATAAACTCAAAATAACAACTTAAAGATAAGTACTTATTTTGTTAAAAGTATTTTAATACATAGAGTGTATATGTAGTACGGGTAGACTGTGTATTATAAATTTATACCAATAATTTCTGTACCCCTATGCTACATATCCACTCTATGTATTAAAATATTTATAACTGTATAAGTACATATTCTAAAGTTATTATAAACCCATTAATCTTTTTTATTTTGGAAGAAAAGCGCTAAAAATAGGTTTTTTTTTTTGAAATTTTGAAAAAATTAAAAAAGTTATTTTTATTATTTTAAAAAATAAATGGAGCGTATAGTAGAGTTGGAAAGTTTAAAATTTTTAGGATCATTTTTACAAAAGAACGATAGTATTGACGGAAATGTGAGACACAGGATTAAGTGAAAAGAAGCGTTTAGTGTTTTGAGCGATTAGAGAATTCCAATGAAGTTAAAAATTAAGTTCTATTAAACTGTAGTAAGGCCATCTATATTGTGTAAACCAGAGTGTTAGGCGGAGTGTTGACAAGAAAATAAAACAGAGAATGAGTGTAACAAAGATAATAATGCTTAGATAGGTGAGTGAAATGACGATAGAAGATAGGATAAGGAATGTACATATAAGGGGTGTAAAGGTGTAGCATCACGAATAAATTAAGAAAAAATAGGCTTAGATGATTTGGTTATATTATGAAAATAGAGAAGTCGGAATCTGTAAGAACAGTTAAAAAATTAACGTTGAAAGAAAAGAGGAAGATCAAAAAAAAAATGTGGTTGGATGTAATTAGGTGTGTTATAAGGACTGCTGGGTTGAGTGTAGATGTTATGTCAAGTGGAGATTTAGGATACTTGTATCCTACACAAGTAGTTGGAATAAAAGCGAGAGAGAAGAAAAATATTAAAAATTAATTTTAAATTAAAATATATATATTAAACCAAATAATATTAGAAATATGTAACTCAAAATGCTAAGAATATAATTTTAAAAACTGCGTATATGTATTAAGTTAAAAGAATCACTTTGTATAAACAGGATGATTCTTTTAAAACGCTCCTATAAGTTATAAAGGATGATTCTAAAAAGTTATTAATAAATGATAAATCATATATTTCTTGATTTATAAGTTATTATAAATATATGTACTTAAAAAAATCAAAACGTTTTTTTTTTTTAATATTTTATTTATTTTGCAAGAAATTGATTGAGATTTGATAAACGGATCATTCTTTAGAAATATTACTTTATTGTGTTAAAGTTTCAAAATGTATAATGTATAAATTTCATGAAACACGAAGGCATTAACTTAGCGCTGTACTGATCGTTTTGTATAACCATAAATGTAGACAGACCTGATGCTAAAATTCCTATCATGACAATTAATGCCAATGATATAAAATGTCTTGAAACTATGTCTGTAGATAACTTAATGCTGGGAAATGTAGAGTAATACATTTTCTTTGAATGTTTAGTTTTTGACTGATAAAGCATTTGTATCTTTAAATAAAGTATTGGTGGTAAAATAAACATCAATGGACCTGTTAGTAATGAACCGACCAAACTCATCACCAAATCTAATCTAGGTACTACCTCTCCAATCAATATAGCTAATATCATGATAAATGTTCTCAATACACATCTTTTCCACGTGAATTCTAAAAGGATAAATTTTTATAAATATAGAAAAAATAATTTTTAACTATCAAACCTTTAGGTATATGAAGATAGTTTTCAATATTCTGAAATAATGGAGTTGTACTGACTGCTGTCGATAAACATATTTGGAGAATAATTAAAATTATGACAATATTCAAGGCGTGACTTTTGGGCAACATATTAAGTAAATTCGTATTTAACAAACCTCCCAATTTCAAATATCCAATGACCACTGTTATCAAAAACAAACTGCAAGTAACTAAATTATAAAATGTGTGAATAATACAACATTTTTCATAAAAATAAAATTGTAGTTATTACAGAAAAATGCACCAATGACCACGAAAGGTACTTTTTTTATGTCATTCATATCCATTTGTATAGTAAGAATCAATGGATGGACGTCAAACTGAAATTAATTATGATTATTAATTTTTTTATTCAAGATAACATATTTTTGACTCCCAAATTTGTTTTACCTGGAATGCTAGTACGCTATAAGCTATAATCATAGCACTCCAAGATAATTTAGGCACTGGAACATAGATATTATTAGGTATCTGTATCATTAAAATCCATGTCAATATACTCACTAAGCTTACAGTGAACACAGATATTAAAGAAATCCACCTATTAAATTGCATTCTAATTAGCTAAGTAATAAGTTTTCTTATTGTACTTTCAATTAGTATTCAAAAACTAAATTGTTATATATTTTGTTCTAATGAATATTATTTTTACCTCACGATAATGTTTTATAACAATTTAGAGTCCGTATAATTTGCATATTTTTAAATTTTAGACACTTGTTATTATAAACTTTTCTCGAATAAAAATATGAAATTAAAGATAAATATTTTTCTTAAAGTTAATACAAAAACAAACTTGATTCAATTTAATTGTAATAATATAATATAAATATTGTACTTAAGTCATCATTTCCTTAGCCTCTACCCCAACTAATTAGGGTTGGCTCATATTTACCGTATTTACTTTACAATTTAATAAGTTTTAAATAATTTTTTAGAATAAAAATAATAATTTCTTATTTTAAATCTATTAACCTAATAACCTACAGTTTACTATTAATTTTATGATTTCTAGATTGCCAAAATAATCTTTAGAAAATTCAGAATATTTTTTAGTTATATAATATAAACTATAAACTTTAAAAAAATTATATTTTAACATAAACTATATAAATTTAAATTCACATTTAACATATTAAGTAAATGATAATAAACACAGTTATATATATGAAAATAGTGCACTATATCAGACATATTAATTTTCCTGCCATTTGAGCTAAAAATAATTGTTTTTGTAAAAAATATTATTTTTCAAAGTTTTTAAATTTTATAAGTATTTGAAATGTTTTACAATTTTAGTTTTTAATCATAATAAAAAAAAAATTTTAATTAATTAATAATTCGATAATACATTTCGTTCATACTTTAAATCTTTTGGGCTTCCAAGCCAAATTGGTGGGCATAATATTATCCCAATTATTATTAAACAAATACAAAACGATAAATTCTCGCTATATACTTTCTTTCCAAGTGTATAAAGGTTGTCAGCAGCTGAAAAATAAAAGTGAATACAAGTCAATTTTTGTTATTATGATTTTATATTCTTACCAATTAATAAATTCGGTATAATAGCTCCAAATACAGCAATATTTTGCATAACATGTACTATTCGTTCAAATGTTCTTCCAAAACTTAGACCAGCGATTGCAGCATAAGGATATCTTTACAATGAGTTGTATATATTCTTTCAGTTAAAGTTAAAAAAAATTATTTGAATACATTATTGTATTATTCAATTTATAACCGTTATTACCGATTTTTGTGTACTATATTTGGTTCAATTGTTTCTGCTATGACCCAACATTTTCCCAATAGTATTGCTGTAAATACTTGAACAACAAACACAAAAATGGCTAATGGTATTCCTAACCATCCTATATAAATTATTATCTATTTAATTGCTATATAATTTAATAAAAGCAGTAAGAACTACATAGTTTTTTCTATTTTAAACTTAATTAATATATCTAGATTAAAATAGTTACATTTTATATATCATTTAGAGTTTTAATGAATGTTCACTATTAAGAACATTTTAGGACTTTCTCTCTTATAAATGAGAAAAAGTAAAGTTGATACCCTTATGAGGTATACCTTATAAGAGTATCAACTTTATTTATTTTTAATGGTAACATACATATTTAATTAGCCTATATATTAGTAATTGAACTAATTAGAATAAAAATTGGTTGACAACAACGTTTGATTATTGAAAAAATATAAAAAAAAAACTAGTTCAGTTGGTTTGCAGTATAGTTGTCACAATACACATGATATCTGATAGTGATTAACATTACTCTTATAAAAAACGGTGCGATGTGAATTTGATCAATTTAACAATAATTTGTAATTTTACTATTGCTATGTTTCAAAAATTTACATAAAAATTAAAGGCTCGTTAAATTATCAGTTTTATTACACAGTAAGCGTTGAAACTTTCTATCTAAATTATTCTACTAAACAATCAATTACTCTTGTTTGGAAACACTAAGAACATAAAACCCATTCTTGCTGTTGTTTTTCTACATCCTTTTGACAATACAAACTTGTTTTTTTTTAAAGTTGCTATTTTTTTAACTTAATAACCGATTTCTCATAGAAAAACATTTTTTTTTAATACTGTAGTATATTTTAAAAGATTTAATTGAATAAAGGTTAGAAGTTATCAGACTTTCTAGAACATTTTCCAAAATTTAGTTAAAAAAAAATATATACATGCGTATTTATAGGTATTTATTAAGCGCCTACTGTACTTTGGATTTTTATATAAAGCATACCAAAAAACAAAATTGTTTTCCTTTGGTATACTCTATTTAAAATGTTTATTCATTATGTTCAGTATAATATTGAATGTGTTATAGCAATTTAAAAATGCAATAATTTTTTTTAGAGATGGTGTTTTTTTGATTTACCCAGTGAGACCTGAAAACTTTTATGGACAAACATAATAAAATACACCGTCATTACAAAATCAATACGTTCTTACCTTCGTGTCGAAAATAAAAAAAAGATATAAATTTATGGTTTATATTTATACTTAAGTTTTTAATATTTATGAATTTAATTACATTAAATTTATCTCCTTTTTTAATGTATATAGTTTGATTAACATACCTACAAGAACACATAATATGTATTGTGGTAAGTGTATTATACTTACCACATTTTGCTATTTGACCAGGTAATACAATTATGGGTAAGACACCAAATAAATCAACAATGCTCAATATAGCTAATAGTTCCGTTAATCCACCACGACTGGATACCATTCTATTTTAAATAAAATACTAAAATTTATTTTAAAAATCTATCAAACTAAAAACAAAAAATAAATAAATATGGAAATTAATAGATTTGTCGTTTATGAAATTACAATTCACTAACGTTTCTCATTTTGGCTATTTGAAACAAGTGTGCTATTCGAAATTATACAACACAACAATCTAAAATAAAAAATTAATAGTAAATGTCACCTTTGGTTATCAACAAAGCATTTAAAAAAAATATATTGACACGTCAAATTATGTAACGATATCGTCATTGAAGTTAAAAATCACACTTGCGTACTGTACCAACCAGAATAAAAGAAATCTCTATTGTAAGTTATATGAAATGTTCAGGAGAGTTTATTGAGTCTGGCCCTCCTCAAATTGTTCATATTTAATTATACTTAAAAAGTTAAACTTCATAGTATTTTAAGAAAAGAATAAAATTTTTCTTTGAAACCCTCTCATTTCAACTAAAATCCTAACTATGTAACGGGTTTTTGATACTAATCAAAAAATTAATTCCAATACACGTACGTATTTAATTTATTTAATAACACCCATTACATATTAGGTGTATAGAATATCGTTGCTTATACTGCAATAGTACACATCTTAACATTTGACAAAATGAGATTTTTCTAAAAGAAGTTATTTGAACATTTTATTTTAAATATTTTTTTGCAAGAATTATAGCTCCATTGATATTTATTAAAATAAAATCACCTCTTTTCTAACTTTTCAATAATCCGACTTTTTGTATTTAAACGTGCATAATTCAAATTTTTTTTTTAATAATACTAAAAACCCATACGCACTGACGCGATTTAAACGACATAGAAAATGCAACATATTTAACGTATCAATAAAAAATAAACAAAATTAATCTTTGGAATTTCTTACATCTGCAACATCTTAGACTTTTAATCATTTACAGCCACAATAGTTGGGCAAAAACAAATATTTTGTCAAAAAATTTACACAATGTAGTTTTGATACATAAACATATTTTGAATTAATACAAAATTGAGTCAAATCTTATAAGTGAAAATCATTTTTAGTAAAGCATTAATTATGAAGGTGTTATAATAATATGTTATTCACTTGTACATAATCATTATCTGTTCACAGAATATACAAAAAATTGTATGTAGTTTAGGTATCGGCATTCCACGACACTCCCAATAGTTCCAACATGTATAATTTACTTCATTATTATTATACGTGGCTCTTAATTTTTTAAACCACATTAAATGAGTTATTTTATTTTTTAATTTATAAATACTCTTTTCATTCTAAAAATAAAATTATTTTTAAAAACCAATTTAAAACTCAACTAAATAATGTCAATTGATTTGAAATTTTATACGTCAATATATATGCTAATGTTATATTTTTTTGCTACCCTCGATGAAAAATTCAACAAAAATATGACACGCGTATGATAAAAAGTTCCCAACCTCTTGTCTAGGACATTAAGGTAAACTCGGTTAAATTTAATTTAAATATGATTTTTCTATTTAAATAAAAATACACTACTTTGAAATAACTAAATTATCTAAATCCAGACAAGGATTTTTCAATAAATTGTATTTAATTCCATGGAATTGTTTAAAAATTTGTAAAATCTAAGATTATATATAGAAATATTGTAATATAAAATATTTCTGCGTACTTTTACACTATTTATGCTCCTACATTAGAATATTGAGAAATTTGAAACTTAAAAGTCAATCATATTTATTATAAGTTTACCCCAAATACGGGGCACATTTGAATATACATGGAACAGAATTGATATTTCATTAATACAACAAAAATACTTAAAAATGTATATGATCTCAAATCTATATTGTGCAAGAAAAATATATATATATATATTAAAGCAAAATGCTCACCCAATTTTTCGATGATTAAAATAATTTAAAGAAAAATCAAATACAGAATTATCCTAATGATACTAATACAAATCTACCCCATTAACATTTCATTAATAATCTAGCATAAAGTTTATTATTTTTAATTAAGTAGGTATAATTGGGAAATGACACTAATGAGTGGTTTCTTTCTTCAAAACTTTGTAATTTATTTTTACACTTATTCTATATACTTAATATGTTTAATGTACAAATTATACATATAAATTAAAAACGTAGGTATGAAAATAGAAAACAATATTTTAAAACTAAATAATTAACTTTTTCTAGCGATTTTTTAAAATTTTATTTGAAAAAAACTTATGAATAAAAAAGTAACACAAAATTGTTTTTTTTTTAACTAATTAATAGTCAGAAGTGATTGATAAACAGTATTATGTGTAAATCAGTATAGCCAATTAATCATTCTATTTCTTTATTACTTTCCAGATAACCAAAACAACGTTATTAGANCTATTTCTTTATTACTTTCAAGATAACCAAAACAACGTTATTAGCATAAAATAAATATACTCTGCATTCAAATTTGCTCCAGTCTCTCATATGTAATTTTGCCATAAATATATTTCTATATGAATTTGATTAGTTACTTAAAACAATAACTATAAATATTTCATTTTTCATGTTTTTTAAATCTAGCAAAAAGTAACTAGTTCTCTTTTTACATAAAACGTCCAATTTGATTATGAGTGTAACTTTAATTATATTTATTTTAATTGTACAAATATTAACAATGAAATTTCATGCCAAAATTATTAAATCCAACTAATTTGTTATAATACTCCACTCATTATTCAGTAGTCTATAAATTATGGTCTATTAGTCATCAAATTAAATATAAAATATTCATGTCAATCCTTTAAATTATTCCAAAAAATATGTCTAAAAATGCATTGATCCAAATCTAATGTAATAACTATAAGAAATTCTTAAGTTGTGACAAATCATCTATTTTGAGTGAAATAATATGCAGTAAATAACAAAATTGAGTAATAAACAGATAATAGTAAAAGGTCGTGAAACTTCTTACGCATATAGATGAATTAAATTTAATATAAAACTGTCAATCTCTCTCACTACTACTTCACCTTATGAAATTTCAACAAATGCAAGAAGTGGCTTGACAAAATACGATTTTACATAGAAAATTGAAGTTTATTAATTTATTTTCAACCATACTCTTGACATCATTAAGGTAAATTCATATTTCATAAAAGATCTATAAGGTTAGAGTTAAGTATAATGAGTACAGAAATTAAGTAGGGAACCTGAAAAAATAAAGTAATCTCTGGAATAAAATATTGTCTTAATAAAGAGTATCAATAACGTTTGTACGAAGTGAGCCAGCCTAGTCCAATTTTTGAGTGGGTTACCTGTATAGTCAATACTAATAAAGACTCTCTTGCGAAGATAGAGAACCCACTTGTGGTTTCTATACTACTCGAGGTATTTATTGACACGACTCACAGTCAGCACAAGCCTAAATAACTACTGGTGCGAGTGGCTTTGTTGATAATCTATGTGTGATAATTAATCACAATAATTTCTATTTCAAATTATTATCATATTAATAAATTTTCAAACTTCACTTTGCTTTTCTATATTTTACATCTTCTCATAAAACCCTCGTACTCATATCCCGAGAGAAAATTGTATTATATCATTTTATTCAATAAATATTATAGTAACTCAATTATTCTCATGCTCATACAAGATAAACAATTTAACTAATTTTAATAAATCATTTTTAATTATTAATTTAATTTTATATTTCTTTTTTTGAGTTACTATAATATTTAAACAAAAAAATTTTAATTAACCATTATTTTTATTAAAAACATGTAAATAATAAGGTACTTAGAATCAGGAGAAAACCTAAAAAACGATCGTTTGCATAATATTACTTCCATCGCATAGACATTTATTTTAAAGTTAGACACTGTAATCAATTTTAATTGAACAATAAAAAATAATTTTTGTGACTTCGTAGTATATGCAGAAGAGAAAGAAATAGATATTTCAAATGTGATTAAAATAACAAAATATCAATTCATATAACGGTAAACAAAAATAATAACTCGAAGATTAAGGTCAGAAAAATATCATATTAATTAAGAACAACAGTAATACGTTTATGCGTATTACTTTAAAATGATAATATTGGTCATATATTATTTTGATATTAAAATAAAAACTAATAAAATTACCATTTAGTTAATAAAAAAACAATTTGCTTATCACTGTTTTTAATTTTTTAAATAATGTACATTAAACTTATTAATACCCATGTCATTCTCTAAGCTCTTTATAGCTGTATACAATAATTATGCAATTCAAAAAGATGATAAACCAGAGATGCTAAAAAAAATCTACGTACAATAAATTAAAAAAAAATACTATGTACTATGACAAAGCAAAAACAGGAAATAACTAAGACAAGTCTTGAGCGGCTCTTTAATTTAAAAAAGACCAGTATAAATAAGTGTTATAACAAAACATTTACATGTATTTTATACTAATTAGAACTGTAAAATTGAAGACTAGCTATCAATAATGTGCCAAGCGTCAAAAAGTTGTTAGTTATTCCTTATGAACTCGACAAAAAAATATACCATTTGTGACTCATTAATTTTTGCTTTATATATTATTTTGTATTGAAACTTGTAATGCCTTGTATCCTTTTACTGTGACCCAAATCAAATCGAAATAAAGTGTTTACTTACAATAAGTGGAACTAGACAAGACGAGATAATACAATTATATGGCTTCATACTTCTGATTTTGTTACTAAAGTGCTGCTACAATAAGATTTTATAAATTATAAATACTAGCCAATGTCTCACTAGTAAACAACTCTTTTTACAATTAAATTAACTAAATTTTTTTTTATTTAATCCACTGACTTCAATTTGTCATAATTAATAAAAGCAAATAGTGCTTTTTTATATTGTTAATACTACTAATATTACTTCAATTTAATTCTTTTTTTTCTAATTTTTCTAATTTCAATTGTAGTAGAGGTTTTTGACCAATTAAAATCTTTTGCGGTCAATTAACTACATTTTGACATGTCAAATTCAGTGGAAAAAAAATGTATTGCTTTTATTATTTTACTCCATAATTGAACAAACAATTATAATATTAATAAAAAAACTTAGATACCACATAATTTTGTTATTGTTATTTAGAATAACGACAGTCCAATACTTTCATGTAGGGTACAATTCGTATATTTTTTCATTATTTTAAATTTCTTGGATAAATTCTATTTTATTTCAGTATTATACTAAATAATCTATTAATCACAACTACTGAAAACTAAATTAACTTATTATCAAATAAAACCAAAATTATCTGTTGAGTTATTAGTTAAATTAATACCTTAAACTAACTTAGGTTTCAACTTTTTAACCCATTAAAGCCCAACATTGAAAAAAATTATAACAAAAACTTTTATGAAATAACGACTAAACTTGCAAAAAGTCCACGTTATAAATTGAAATTTAAAATTGGAATATAAATATTATTTTTTTTTTTTTTGACCAGATTATAACTGGTCAAAATCTCTTTGATTAATTGAACAAATTTCGACCAGTCAATTAACCGGTCCATTGATGTCGTGCCAACCTTGAGTTGAATATAATTCTTCAATTTTATTTAAATATGTACATAATTTCAGTATCCATAACTTAAAATTATGAAATATGAAATGTATGAAATATGTATTATACTTTTTTTTTTTAAATCAACTTAGTAAAAATAATAAAGATTTACTTTTTTTTATTGTGTCAATAATTATATTTAGTTCCCTGAAATTATATATATAGTTAACTCATTGAACACTTAGATAAATATGTTGTCTTTTAATTAATTTAAAAAATTTTAAATAAAACCTTATTTACGAATGAAATACTTACCGGACTAGTGCCCCTATGTTTATTTTAAATTACATAATTAAATAATATGTACATCTGTACATATTATTAATTTTTATATTGATTAAGTTTAAATTTAATCGCGTTAAGTGCTTTTATAGAATTCCAGCAAAAAAATATGTAGTTAATATAATTTATTATCTGTACTTATTTCTCAAAAGTGTTGTCATAAATAAAAAAACGCTTCGATGCAAATCTTTAGATAGTGTTTAATTTTAAAAAAATGGTGTATTATTCTAAAAGCTACATGATCTCCTATTTCCTTATTTATATCCTGATTACAAGTTTTATGATTTATAAGTGTAATATATGAATATATATATATATATAATATATAAAGGGATAATGGTGTTATTTTTCATAAAAAAATCCATATATTTTTCAATAAGTTATGGCATTATAAAGTTAAAAATATAAAATATAAAAAATAAAATTCAAAATTTTTTTTTCCATAATAAAATATATTATATAAGCTTTAATTTAAGATGTATAGAAAAGTGTCAGTATTTCCGGAACACTCTCAAAAATTAGGTTCAAAAAGTTCTACTTTCTATATGCATTTTTAAGTTTTAAACCTCATGTATTAAGCGAAATGGTCCGATAAAAAAAAATATCGAATGAAAGAAATATATAAATATTATTTCTCATAAAAAAATTGTAGTGATCCATACATCTTTTAAAAAGTTATAGAATTTTAAAGTTAAAAATGTAAAATTTAAAATCGAGAATTTTCACACGAAAATAGAATTCGGTAGCCATTTTCGTCGTGAAGACAAGTCCAGAGGTCAAATTTTTTTTTTCATATTAAAGTATATTACATAAACTTTAATTTAATATATATATATATATGTCTAAATATCAGTATTTGTGAAACATTTTCAAAAGTTAAGTTAAAAAAATTAATTTTTTGTAAAAAATTTATCATTTTGAATCCTCTCTGTGGACAGGTAAAGGATCAAATTTATAAAAAAAATATATCAAATGATAGGTAAAGACATTAGGCATCTATAAAAAAAAATTATATTGATTTGTTCATTTTAAAGAAGTTATGGCAGTTTTACGTAAAAAAAATTGAAAAAATTTCGAAAATTTTTAAATTTGTAATTTTTTTGGAGATTTCCCCCATTTACGGGGAACAAGGGAAATTTTTTCAATTTTTGAGGGTAATGTCTTTGACTAGATACGATTTATGATATTTTGACGTATAGTTAAAAGAAATCGGTTCGGCGAGAGCTGAAAAAAAGTGGTAACAGACACAAAAAAAAAATTTTAATTAAAAAAAAAAAAAACATCATAGTAAAATTAATACCTTCTTAGGTTCGCATCGAAGCTAATGTTTAGTAAAATTATTGTTTAAACATTGAGCGTGACTTATTAAAGAGTGAATATTAAAATCGAAAATAGTAAAAATAAACATTGTTTTTTATTATTTGTATTTACAATCCGCTTATTTCATTAACAATTAGAATGACAAAAAGTGTTTGAAGATACTCATGGCAGAACAAGATAACATATAAGTCGACTGAAATATTTCCATCCAAGACATGTTTTGCCGTCAAAGGTTAATCGTTCTGACGGCTTCGGTCATCGCCTCACTTAAGATTCACCTTTAACGGAGACCTTTGATCTCGACTCGCACACACGGTAGCCGACAGATGGTATGCTGCGTACTAACCACACCCCCCTGTCGATGGTATTATTTTTAATTTATCCTGCGTTTCTACGACTAAAGCGGATATCATTTGGTATAATCCTCGAAATACACATTCTAACACGTCTGAAGTAAACGACAGATCAAATTTCAATACTTTGGCGTAACGGATTACTATAACTGCCCATGTCAGTAATTTAAAGTTTTACTCGGTCTCGTGTACAATCGGGGAAATATTTTGTAATTTGTTTTCCATCGAGTAATCGACTTATTCATTTTTTACTAATCAATTTCGAATCTAGCAACTATAGTTACGCATCTAAATGAATGATCTAAACATCGGTCGCCTAAAACTTTTAACTAGGCTTGCCTGAAAAAACACCAAGAATTTCTGGACTCTTCCAAAAAAGTACGTAGAAATCTAGACAAAAATGCATTTTATTTATTTTTTTAACTGCGTCACAATTAAAATTTTACTTTCGTAACATTTTAGGCCAAAACGGAATACCTCATTATTTCCGATATCGGTCGTTTTAAGTTATTTACGACATATTTCGTCGGCGCTCTTCTCGGTAACTGCAACATCATTGAACGGTTATTTTAGAGGAGCCAACATAACACTGTAGTGCTCGTTAAACGATTGACAATTTCTGTTGACTAATCAGTCCATCGTGTTTCCAGACTTGACACGACTAGAAGCTGTTGCTCAGATGGTCCTAAAAAACCGTACAGTTGCCCACGCCGTGTAATGAATATTTAAATGATACATGTGTGCGAGTGCGTGCGTTGCACAAGGGACTCGTGTGCGGTACGTGTGCGGTGGCAGAGGTCGATGGGCAATATTTTTGTTGAACCGCGTGGGTGGGGGGCAAACAGCGTACCGATATCGGTCCCCCGGCCGTGCACATACGTAGTCCGTGTTACGCGTCCGTCCCTGGTCGTGTGCCGCAACTGTTCGGTCGATACCATTACACTGCCCCCTAGACGTGCATCACGGCAGACGAACCGACCCTACGCGGCGGCCACGCGCTGTCGCTTTTCGAGCTGCTGGCGGTGCTGTTGCTGACATGCGGCGGCACAGCACATGCTGCTCCGGACATCACCATGTCCATTCACGGCACAGGATGGTCAGCGACGCCCACCGGCAACGAACATGGCCAAACCACGTACACAGCTAACCAGGTCGGTAAAACGTTGATAGCGTTTCGAGGGCACATTTTCTTTATGGCTTTTTATCTAAATAAAATCAAATCGAACAATTTTATAAATACAAAACAGGCCAACAGTACAAAATTAACGTTACAATATAATTTGCAAATATTTTTTTATATACAAATAACCGAATCGAATTAACGTTTAAAGTTCGCTCAAGTATATTTTTTTCTATACGAGCAGTCTCAGTTCGTATTGCATAGATCATAATGAGAGAATCATATCTAACCATCATTAATGACATTTTTAATTGTATTATCATCACATATTTACAATAATAAATTTAATTCTGTTATTGCCACTACAAGGCAAAGATATAATTGTTTGATGTATTTCATTTTTTAATAACAAATGACGATTGCGTAGAAATTTATGAGTCAAAGACCATTTTTTTTTCTTTTACAAGTCTTATTATTGGTTTTATTTTTCCGACGGTGGGTTTATGTGAACAGTGTATATAACTCAGAGTTAATCATCAACTCGGGGGAAAAAAAGAGAAAGACTCACATGTTATTTTTTTAAATAATGTAAATATATTTCAGATCCAAACACTGTTAAACAATATTGAATTTAGATTAAGAGATTTATCAAATACTGTCAGGCGAGATCAACAAATAGAAAGAATTAATTCTAGAATCGACATGATTTACAATAAATTAGGCCATATAGAAATATCAAATGGATTATGGTTCGACAAATTTCAACAAGTAAATAATTTGTAACATGATATTTTATTATAACTGAAATGTTAGATATATTTTTGTTTTTTTACAATATAAGATTACGATACAATATGGTGGTGCATTTATCCATTAAATCTTTGCTTCCGAATTTATCCGTATCTCTAATATATTACTTATTTGAAATTTGGAAATGTGAATTTTATTATTGTACATTGTTTATGATTTCAGACTGTAACAGAGGAATGTGGTTCAAACCATGTAATCCGGCGCATAGACAAGACACAACAACAGTTGGAAATTACATTGGAACACATGGAAACGACACTTCAGTCGGTGCAAAATCACCAGGTAACGGATGTCTAAAATTAGTTAACTGTATCGAAATCAATTTAATTGTCAATAATTATCACAAGTATGCAATAGACATGTTTATGTATTAATCGTAAAAAGTATAATATTTATATTAAAATAGCAAAACAAAAGGTAACGTAGTGTTGACCTTCGAAGTTCGCACTGATCAATGTGTCTACTATTGTGTGGAAAAACACATGGCTTATCTTTGATTAGCAATGTTCTATAATATATTATTATTAATAAACTATAGAACCCATAGGCGATTTACAAAACAATTTGCGAATACAATTGGTTCATGAATTTCAATTCGAGATGGTATAAATATAATGATGAAAAAAAAAAAGTAAACAGCATACCGAGGGGTAGATTAGTAAAAATATCTCCTACTTCCTTGTAGAGTCATTTTGAAAAAAATACAATTAATTCCACTGATAGAATTTTACAAATCTATTAAAATGATCACACAATCACAGAATTTACTCGATTTCTTCCTATCTGACAGT